GTGCCGGTATTGCGCCCTAGCCCGCGTGTTGGAGGTTGCTACATACACCCGCTATCCGGTACGGTATCCGTAAATGACTCGGCATGGGCACGGGAGGGCCTATGCCTCGATAGAACCCGGATGGATGAATGTCCGGGAAGTCCCGATGAGATGAACGACACGCGAGCCCATTCTCAATGGCATGACCGAACGAGTTATGATGAGCGACGACATCCCGAGACTCGGAATGGCGTCAAGACATATGGACCCTGTCGATGGGGATCGAGATGGCAAGACGAGATGCGACGTTGTATTGAGAGACCTTGGCCCGAGCAGAGGCAAGGTCGAGCCGAATGAGTTGGCCTAGCGTAGAGGCAAGTCGGATGTGTCGCAGATGATTGAACATACACGCACAGGCGGCGTGTGTGGTTGAACAAGCTTGGATTCCGCACAAGCGATGTTCGATTGGCGAAGACAAACCTCGCCTAAGGTCCGACGAAGCCACAAAGCCGGGGCGAAAAATATAATGGGGCTTAATTCCCCTTAAGGCTGGTCGTGAGCGTGTATAGATCACGACGCCGCACGGTCAAAGATATAGGACCGTGACACGAGGCACTAGTCGGAGTAGGATTAGACTCTCTCTATAGTAGACATGTTTTAAAACTGTGAAGCTGATAATGATACGCAACGAGTTAAAACAGACAATATCCGTTAGCGATGGCTTTGAGCTGTTACAAAACTTTATAAAATACATGAATTACTTTTTTTTTCATTGCAAATTAATTATGAGATGAAACTGGGTGTTTATTTAAAATTTTATAGAAAAGAAATCCAAACTTGATATTAAATCTTTTGATCGATTCATATCATCAAAATGACTTCAGTTTAACCAGCTCGATGTTGTGCCTAGGCTGTGAGAGCTCTCAGCCACATGGATAGTTCAATATGCTCATCAACGCCTGACCTTGAGATGTGGATCATCCAAGCACATTAGCATGGCATACTTCACTTGTTTGAACCGGGGTTTGAAACCAAACTTTTTTTTTCAAGAAGATAGACGAGTTGATTCAGGTGAGATCCAATGTAGATCCAATGTAGATCCAACTTTCTATTCACTCGTGGGATCCAGGCGGTTCAGGGGGACCACCTCGGCTCTTCTCTTCTCGAGAATCCATACATCTCTTATCAGTATATGGACAACTATCTCTCAAGCATAGGTTTAGGTTCGGCTTCAATGGAAAAAATAAAACGGACCACCTAACAACATATCTTCACAGACCAAGAACTACAAGATCGCTCCTTTCATTCTGGGGTGACGGAGAGATCGTACCATTCGAGCCCCGTAACCCTAAAATAATTAGTTGAATACATCAACAAGTAAGTGTCCCGCAATCAAAAGCAGAGAACTTCATTAATAAACCAACAAGAAAATCAGCCAAGATGTTATCCCTCAAGTAATTCATTAATTTCCCTTCACTCTCTTGAATTGAACCAACCACATAAGATGTAGCAATGAGCTTAATGCATCTCCATCTCCTTTCTTTTGCATATTTCTCTAACCCCTTCTCAATTCTCTTATATTCCTCTTCTCCTCCTCCAATTGGACTCCTCAACATCGCTTCGGCTAAACATCGAGCAAGAACGACGCCGTCTTCCAATGCAGAACAACCTCCTTGTCCGAGATCAGGGGTCATCGAGTGAAGCGCGTCGCCTGCAATACAAACGTTACCTCGAAAAAAGTCATTCCAAACCAGCTCCCAAGGTTGTCTACATCTCAATGG